TGGGGATCAACTAGGGCATAAACATTCAAACAGAAGGCTCCTGGCTGGCCGCCTTCTGTCTTTGATTGAGTTTTAGAAACATTTAAATGAAAGGGTCTTGGATACAATTAAGCTTTAGAAATTTCAACACTCAAATTTCAAACAGATATCTTCGAGAAAGGCTCAAATTGAAAAGTTCAGGTAACGTTGAGAGTCCTGCTTTAGTGTTTGCAATCAAGCCATATTTCTCCTGTACTAACTATTAACATTTTGAAAATAAGCTATCCTACTATCATTTTTGTCAAAATACGTAATATTGTAATTATATTATTTTTTATTTATTTTTTTTGACCAGGTAGATGGTTAGAAAGTTAGTAGAATTAGTTTGTTAGCAGTTGGAATTTTTCCAGGAAAGTAAACTTTCTACCCCCTCATTTGAGGCGCACGACCATTAGGTCGCAAGTTGGTGAAGTTCACGGCAGTGGCAGAGCTCGAAGCTCTGACTTCCGCCTCATCCAAACCCTAAAGCTTGGGGGCCAACCAATTGCGCCACAAGCCCAGTTGGCATTTTTCATATTATTTTTGCTTATTGTCAAAGGTAAAATTAAGATAAAAACATTACAATTGTACTTATTTAAAGCTACTTATTAAACCGTACATATCCTTTTGTACCTAATAACATTAGTCATATTAAAAAAAAATGCACTCCTCTCTCTCCTTTGGACTTGGCTTTCGATCCGTACTTATAAACATGTTTCAAAAAAAAGAAAAAAAACTACATACTAAACGAAAAGAGATCACTACAATAAGTTTCGGATTTGAAGACTACTTCTTCACCGTTCTCACTGACTGTAGTAGTTGGGTGCAGAAGAGGGCAGAAATTGCTTAGTCTCTAAAGAGAGCCCAGGACTAACGAATATCAAAGATATCATATGAGTAGATTTATACCTCAACAGATGCATGCAGTGATTGGATGAAATTAAAACTTAATTTGAGTGCTTTATACAAAACTTTTTTACACAACATCATATTTAAAATGTAAATTTATTATAAATAATTAATTTTAATTAATAT